TATAACATACAGGCCATTTGAGATAATTTTTTAAGCCTTAGTTTCAAAAAAAAAAAAAAGCTGATGTTTTTAGAGGTCTTTGAAAGAGATGACTTCAATAGGTGTTCAGCATAAATGTAAATGAGATTTATATCTGAAGGAGATGATCAAATCTTACAGGTTATTTAACAAATTTGAAACACCAAAGCACAATTAGAAAATGAAATCTAAACATCGAAGACTCAGCTACTGAGACTGTGATTGAATTTTTTTCACTGCCTTCTCATGCTCCATACATTTTACCTCTGTATCAGGATTAATATCCTCTGTATACATCTTGGTATTTTTTATATTTTGTATCCCAACTCCATTTCCTGAAGCCCTCCAGCCCTGTGGCCCCAGAGGAAAGAAAGGGTGAATGACAGTGCTGGAAAAAGGAAGATGTAAGAAGTTTCTAGCAGACCTAGAAGTCATATGTTTTCTCCAAAAAAAGTATAGAAAGAGGACAAAGAGAGACTAGGGGGCAGACATGAGTGTCCTGATTCCCTACTGGCACAAAACCATTAGTACATATGCAGTGGAGAGTTAGCAAAAGGATGAAAACACCAGTGTATCCACTGTCTCTGTTTCAATAAATGTAAATGTTAATAACCTACAAATACTTTTCTCCAGTTTATAGCCATTCTCTGAGCTACACATCCAAGTATGCAACTGCTTCTGTCTAGGTCGCTCTTCAAATTCAATGTGGTCCAACAGAGGAAAAAAACATCAACAGGAGAAGCACTATAGTGTTGAAGCACTAAACTAGCATATCAAAAATGGTGACCTAAATATCCCTGAAGGCCCCCAGTGGATGAGGAGCAGCAACCAAAAGAGTCTAGTCTCTGTGATTGAGACTCCAGATCTGTTGGCATTGACCGCTGATGCTGATGCTGCCAGGAAAATGTGCTATGAACCCAGTTAGCCACAGTCTTAGCAGTGCAAACCAGCAGGAAGGGAGGCAGGTAGTGAAAGAAGCATCTCGGAGGTAGCCATACAGGTCGGAGGATATGAGCACATGAAAGCTTTGCCTCACATCCACGGAAGTCTGAGTAGATGCCAAAAAGAGACAGATTTTACCTTAAGGCAAACCACTTTACACAAAAAAGCTTTGCGACATTTAATTCTAAGTTAAATTTTCATCCTAATATCCTCTCCCCAGTTAGCAAGCCCCCTTTCCCCATCTCTTTCCACCTTCTATCCCCAAGTAAGATGTACGTGTTGACAGAGTGGTGGGGAATTGAAGATGTTATAGAAAAGAAAGAAGCTACATTTTTCTCATAATTTTCCACCTCTCTACCTTTATCAACAAAATTAAATTAGGCATTCTAAGAAGATAGAACTTCCTATATAGAATATCTCTATTCACATTCAACACAGGGTTGACATGTGATAGTGGTTAGAAAGAAACAGCGTCCTATTGATTAAAGAATACCTCTTATTTTCAATACTCCAAAACAGTCTAATTTTACTCTTTAAAATAAATTAATAAAGATTTGTTGAAACACATTACAAGATGTCACCAAGACGTCTCACAGCATTTAAAAGACATTCATCACATTGTAAGTCTCTAAGACTTAGAATCTTTCCAGTAATGTGCCTCAGTACTTAAACAGTCAAAGTGTGAACTGCTGATGACTTCAGACAGTGTTTTGTTTTGTTTTGTTTTTTAGACAGAGTTTTGCCATCACCCAGGCTGGAGTGCAGTGATGCAATCTTGGCTCACTGCAACCTCTGCCTCCCAGGTTCAAGTGATTCTCCTGCCTCAGCCTCCCGAGTAGCTGGGTCTACAGGTATGTGCCACTATGCCCAGCTAATTTTTGTATTTTTTGTTTAGTAGAGGCTGGGTTTCACTATGTTGGCTAGGCTGCTTTCCAGTGCCTGACCTCTAAGTAATCCACTCACCTCGGCCTCCCAAAATGCTGGGATTACAGGCATGAGCCACCATACCCGGCCAACTTCAGACAGTTTCAAAGTGGGCAGTACCTTCAAAAAGTCACTGCAGACAAGAATCTCAGCTTTTTGAGGCCCGAAAGGTAATTCTTATCACATTGCATAGTTTTGAGCAAGCTCTGAGATGTTTGCAAATGCTAGCTAAAGGCAAGGTTGACCAAATGTGCCCAGGGTGTCTGTCTACGTATCACTTTTGCAGAGTCTGAAGTCTGTTTATCACATGCTAATTTTTCTTTTAGATACATATGCTGATCCTGTTCGCATCAGAAACAGAATTTCCAACCTTAGGGTTTTTTTTTGTTTTGTTTTGTTTTTTTTTTTTTTTGTTTTTGTTTTTGTTTTTTTTTTTTAATGTTTAAGATACAGAGACTACATTTGGGTCAAACCAACTTTAAGTGTCCAAAAAAAAAAAAAACTTGACGGTTTACCTTAATGGACAAAATGAGTTCAAAGCTTTCCATCTTGCAGATGTGATCTAAGAGATCTAATCACCTAGTGTGTTAAATGGTGAAGACTTATTAGAGTAGGCATCACAATGACCTGTGTTAATAGCCACAAATTGAGATAACTGCCTGGCTCACGCAATGACTTGGAGGCCATGTCTGTACAACCCCTTTGCCTCCCAATTCTAATAACAGACCATCCCCTCTCTCTCTCCCTGCAGCCACGAAGTGAACACATAACCTTTAAAAAACTGAGCATAGCACTTACCATCTTGGTCATAATGACCAGGCCAAGGGCTACACAGTGACCCATCAAATGTTCCCTAGAAGAGTTCATACTGGAGCTGAATAACATTAAATACTCATTTTCCCTGATAGCAAGCTGTGAGGATGTGAGCCTGAAGGGACTGAAGCCTATACTGTTTGCTGCAAGGAGGGGCTGGTCTGAGAACAAAGACAATATGCAGAGAAAGCACAGATGAGACATGGAACTGTTCTAGTGATATTTCAAGTTCTGGCTCTAGTCACCCGTGATATCAACTCTCTTTCCTGGTAATAGCAACCAACAAATTCTCTCTGTGACTTAATCTACTTCATATTGGGTTATTCTTTTTGGAAATCATCACAGTTCTCAACAATAAAGCTAGTGAGAATGTGGTGAAACCCAACAAAGCAGACAAATAAGAACGGCCAGCATCGTCATAGAACAGTAATGCTGATGCTAGTCATGCAATCTTGAGATAATTTCTTAGAATCTCTGATCCTCAGTTCAAAATCTGCAAGTGTGGCTTCCAGCGAATGTACTACATTATTGAAGAATTAGAATATGTAAAGCGATTAGCATAATGCCTTTCCCATAGCACTTGCTTGCCAAGTGCTAAAAATGTATTGTTTTGATCATGAGGGTGTGAGAATAATGATGAGGAGGACCCAAAGAAAACAAAGATTATAGAACTCAGAATATTAAACAACTTTTCATTAAAACCCTAACAGCTTAAATATTTCTTGGGGGAAAAAACTGTAAGCATTAAAAAGAAAAATGTAATGAAGTTAGAAATAATTATAAACAGAACATACTGATTATTTTAAGAAGCAATGGTATTTGAAAGCTCAACTTACAACAATAAGCATTGTTATTGAAATTTTTCTCAAGGTCAATTAAATAGTCTTATTTTTAAGAAAAAAAAGTAATAAGAAAAATAAAGCAAGTATTATTGATATAGCTACTTTCTGCAAATAGAGGTAGCAATACTTGTAGGCCCAACTCGAATGTCTCCACAAATAACAAAGCCTTCCTTTACATCACCAAACCCATGTACAATACTATACACCTTACCAATGGTACATAGCTTTTCTTTCATTGAATTTATTTCCCATTTCACACTATAAAACCCTTGTAGCAAGGCCTCTTTTTTCATATCTGTACCTTTAAAATGCAACTCAATATCTTGGTCAAAACTAGATGCTCAAAATATAGTATTAAAATTAGACTCAATTTTAGATATACACTGAGAGCATGACACATGGGTTCCAATCCTGCTTCTGCCACTTACTAGATGTGCTACCTAGGGTAAGTCACCAACTATAGGATTATATCCTTAAAGTGTTTGCCTTCAAAGTTATCTGCTAACCTCCTACCCCAGTACAAAAATTCCATCTCAATGCATTTTCTACCTACACACACTATGATAGATCCTCCACAAAAAGTAATCTTCAGTCAAACTTCATAACCAGCTTTTGGCATAACTATTATCTTTCACATTGAATAAGTCACAAAGCAATGCTTCGCTAGGCCTGCTATCAGACAGACAGCAAAGCAGACTGAGAATTCTTTCTTATTTATTTGTTTTGAGATGGAGTCTCACTCTGTCACCAGGCTGGAGTACACTGGTGCGATCTCAGTTTACTGCAATCTCTACCTCAGCCTCCCAAGTGGCGATTCCCCTGCCTCAGCCTATCAAGTAGCTGAGACTACAGGTGCGTGCTACCATGCCCGGCTAATTTTTTGCATTTTAGTAGAGACAGGGTTTCACCATGTTGGCCAGGATGGTCTCGATCTCCTGACCTCATGATCCACCCACCTCGGCACCCAAAGTGCTGGGATTACAGGCATGAGCCACCGCACCCAGCCCCAGAATTCTAACTTAAAAAAAAAAAAAAAGTCCTTCCTACATGCTACATCACTTCTCTGTGCTTTAAAAGTCTTAATAATCTTCATTATGGCATACCACAATGATTGGTTGAAATAGCCAAATGAGATGATATAAAACTTCTTTGTAAAGTATGAAGTGCTCCAAGATATCAAGTAGTAGTATTATCATAACAATGATGTAGATGATATTGATAATAATGGAAAAGGGCAAAGTATGTACTTTTATGTCTATTTCCATGCTGTTAAATGAGCCAGTTACTATAAATTGTAACTACTTACTGGGAATTGGGAGGAGGCCCTGGGTTTTTATTTTTGTTTTTTTTTCTTCACGTTTTGAGTACAATTAAAATGTACAGGTTTTCAGAAGTGGTTACTATTCTTACTTAAAAATGGTAGCTATATATATATGTATATATATATATACAGATACATACCTTGGTAAAGGATGGTAATTGACTTGAATAAATTTGTGGTCTTGCTGGGACAAGTCTATGAAACATTGGTTTGTATGAAAACTGCATGTGAAACTCTGTTTGCTGGGCCCTGATTTCCTGGCTGTGTTGAAGTCTTCTCTCCTTTTCTCTTAATTGTTCTTTCAGCTGAAATTGAAGTCCAGTTAAAGCTTGTAACATATTTCTCTTCTTTTCTTCTCACTATTAGTGGATTTGGGGAAAAAAAGAACACTGTAAAACATATAAAAAATAATATTTTACCACCTGAGATTACATATTATAAAATAAATTTAGTAAATGATAAGGGAAGTATTTGAAATAGAAAACAAACTCATCCTTTAATGGTTATGGTTCACCCATAAAGAGGTAATTCTTAATGTTCAAGTTTAAAAAAAAAAGATGAGAAGAAACAGTTGGCATTCAGCTAACAATTGTGTTTGGAGATTTGTGCCTGACTTTGTTATTCTGAGCAAAGCCAGGTACCAGTCTCTTGGGATTATGTACAAAGGCAAGAAAAAAAATGGACATGTACAAACCTCAAAGGTGACTGCTGGGTTAATAAAACAGTCTGTTTTCTGTTCACCCACTCTTGCTCTCAGTGTGCAAGTATATTAAAATATGTCAAAAGGAAAACCATTCGCTGTGCAAAAATAATTCAACTACAAGTCACAATTTCCAGCTGGTGGAGTGCCTTAGTGTATTTAAGTGCACTAACAAGTGACCCGTACATCTCCCCGGATGAAAGTTGTATCCTCATTAAATGAGAAACAAACACAAAATAGGAACAACTGTCACACAGAAAAACAGACCGCAATAGATATCGCATTTCCCACACTCAGTTTCTGGCCTGAGCTATGGTAGACTGAAGAACAGTGACGTCCTGGAAGTAACCTCTTAAAAAGGGCTGAAGTAAAACAAGGAAGCTGCAAAGGGACCTAAATGTCTTGCTAATGGCCATCCAAATTCTCCTTCAGAGTATCTGGGAAAACATCATTTTCTTTCCTGGCCCTAAAAACTCCCATATCAGGAAAGACATTATATAGTAACAATAATATGAAGTAACTGGAATAAACAGACCCAACCCCCAAGGAATTTAGAATTAATGCTCTAAGTTATATTTTTAAACAACTCTGTTAGACAAACTCTGGTTTTAACATTTATAAGATATCATACCAACCTTTTATTTTCTGATTTTCTCTAGGGAACTACATCATTGATAGGACTCTGAAAAGAAAAAAATAAGAAGTTACTTTTTAAAAATTTTAATAATACTGTTCTTAATTGATTCACACTTTGTACATTATTATAAGGTGAAAACATACATTGGATGCTCAACATGACAAGCTTCATCTTATACATAATAGGACATACAATCTGAGTGTGTGCCTCCAAAAGGCAGAGACAATATCTGGAATAATAAGGGAATGCTATTTGAGAGCAAATAACTGATTACAAAAGTATGGTACTAACAATTACTTCAAAGTAGGGTAACATGTTCCTCTTGTATAGAGGCAACACCTTTGTTCAAATATTTTCATGGCAATTATCACACACTAATTTCCTGTTTACTATTTCCTCCCCTCAACTAGAGTATAAGCTCCTCAAAGTAAAATTTATTGTATGTTATTTCTTATATCAGTTGAACCCCCTATCTAGTACAGCCTCTGGCACATAATTCAAACTCCATAATTATTGATTGGTTGTTTGACTAACTGATTAACTATAGCTGTGCATGAGACCATTGGTGCCCAATACTGAATTGTCAACCTCCTACTGGAAGGCGGTAGAGGAACGGGAAAGGGAAGATGGTTCTAGACAGGCACTAATGCTTTCTGTGACAAACTGTAGCCCAGGAGCAATGCATGTATGTAGAGACAAAAAGACCCACACCACTCTAAATTATGCTTTAAGCTAGAAGACATAAAAATCATTAAAGTGAAACTGAAGCCCAACAGAGGAGTGTAGGTAATAAGGGATCAGCAAACCAATCTAAATAAATTAAAATGGCTAGGCCCAGACTAATTATGTGAGCTTGGAAATGAGAAGTATTTGAGGAACCAAAGTTAATGATAAGAAAAACTTATTAAAAATAAGAAAAGATATATTTTAGAAATCAAGAACTAGTGGGCTTGATTTTTAGGCCTCATGAAATTCTAAAGCAGACTGATTATTAAACAGCTGGTCTAGGAATTCATAAAAAATAAAGTGGAATTCATTTGGAGATGGGGAGCTGGAGTCAAGAGAGTACTTACTACATGAAGACAAAAGTCCTCGGTTCATATTCTGAATGTGTGCTTTCTCTCGCTTTAGTGATTTTTCCTTTTCCCTATTTCTGTGAGTTAAACCATGTCTCCCCCCACTGCCGCATAAGTCCTAACTCCTAGTACCTGTAAATATGATCTTATTTGGGAATAAGCGTCTTTGCAAATGTAATTAAGGTGCACATTAAGATGAAGTTATATTAGAGTAGGGTGGGCCCTTAATTCAATATAACTAGTGGTACAGAAAGACAAGAGACATCGAGAACATGAACAGAGAAAGAAAAGAATACATGTGATGATGAAAGCAGAGATCAGAGTTGTGTTAGGAGGCAAGCATGGTATTCCCCCTCTAAGCCCTCCAGAAGGAACCCTTCCTGCTGACAACTTGATTTGAGAATTCTGGCCTCCAGAACTATGAGAGAATAAATTTCTATTGTCTTAAGCCACCCAGTTTGTGGTCATTTGTTATGGCAGCCCTAGGAAATGAGTGCAGCATCCTATAAAAAGGAGTTAGTGATATATCTTCACCAGGTGATTGTCAGGAGGATTATAATAGAGCATAAGTAAATATTAATTTCAGCAAAGCTTTTTACTAAGATTCTTATAATGTGTTCACTGATAAAATAAATCTGTGTGAGCTCAATTATTAGTTAGGTTCAAAGTTGCTGAAATTGTCATTGCCAAAGACAGCTGATTAATAATTCAACATAATCTTTCCCAAAATGTTCACTTATGGATATACTGAAAATAACTCTCAGGTCTCAGATTTCTATCTTTTAAGACCCTTTACAGACAAACGGACACAAGTTTTGGAAAGTCACCTGAAGTGATACTGCTACTGATGGACACAGAACCTTTCATTCATCATTAGTTGTTCAACATGTTTAACAGGACTTAGAGAAATACATAGAATGGATGCTATCCAAATAAGGGAGAAAAAAGTAAGTTGGAAAAAATAAAAATAACACATTTAAAAACAAAATTCTTATTATCTTAATAAATTTATTACTCTAACAATATAATTTCTTAACCATTATTAATAACAGTTTAATACTTTAAACCCCAAACAGTGCTGGACACATAGTAGATACTCAATAAGTTACTATATTATTAATAGTATGATAGGCTAGAAAAATGGGCCAAACCCACTTAAGCAAAAACACACAATATTTCATTTGGGTTCAAAATTTAAATGGATGTAAGGTAGAAAATATCCAGGCTTATCATTAAGTCATAGGAAATAGATTTGGAGATTTCAGTTGATCAAAGTCCCAGTGAATGCATCCAAACAGTGTTTTGTGCAACCTCTAAAACAAAAATAAAACTCAATAAACAACAAAGGTTAGAATTTCGGATAAATCAGTAGATGTGTGTAAGCCCATGACAATTTGCAAAGGGCAAGTGTAAGGGGGATTTGTTTTTCTAAAAGCAGCAATTCTCTGTAAATTTGACAGATGATCTGGGTGCTGTGGAGGGTGACGTTCCAAAGGAGATGGAGAGTTTCTGCATCCTCCATCTCACACTTCCAAAAGATGAAGAGCCACAGGTCCCTACGGCATGCAAATCTGAGTAAGCAAATCTTGGTGAAAGACCTTTCTTCTGCCACCTAGAAACAATGGATGCTTCACAAAAGCAGCATCCAAGAAATGCAACTGAAGTATTCAAAGAAGGATGATGGGAATGTGAAGGGTTCAAAGAAAGACGACAGCTAGGAAGGGATGTTGAAACATCTCACTCTCAGAGAACCAAAGGAGAACCGCCCCCCCCTCCCCCGCCCAAGTAATGGAGAGGGAGGACATTTGACAGAGAACAAAGACAAAGACATCACAAGAGAAAAATTTCCCCACACACTGACTGTCATGAGCCAAGAAAAGTAAGGCAGATCTAATGACAGTCGTATCGTCCTTTGTTAATTAAACCTCTCTTTTTTAAAGCTGTTAGTGATACCACATGCAACGTGGAAACTTCTGAAGGTAAGATGTATTTTTCTATATTTTGACTGAGAACATAGAGCCTATGATACTCATCACAGAAGTAATTCAGACTCTTTAGACCTCAGTTATCTCTAATGCAAACTTTCAGACAGTTTTGGATACAAACTACATTCATTTCCTGTGGCTGCTTTTAAAAAAAACTTACCAAAAACTTTGTGGCTTCAAACAATGCACTCTTATAGTTCTGTTGTAGAGAAGTCTGAAAGTAGTATCCCTGATCTAAAGTCAAGATGTCAGCAGGATACAGCTGGCTCTTTTAGGAGGCTGTAGGGGATAATCCATTTTCTTGCTTTTTTCAGATTCTAGAAGCTGCCTATAATTTTTGGCTTGTGGCCCCTTCCTCCATCTTCAAAGTGTGTCACTCCAGCCTCTGGTTCCATGGTAACATGTCCTTCTGTTTAACTCTGATTTCTTCATTTCTCTTATAAGGACTGTGTGATTGCTTTGGGTTCACCAAAGATAATCCCATAAAAATCTCCCATCTCAAGATCCTTAACTTAATCACGCATGCAAGTTTCTTTTGTCATGTATCGTAACATCCACAAGTTCCAGGGATTAGTACAGGGACATATTTGGGGGACCATTATTCAGCATACCACACCAACTTTAAAAAGAAACAGGGTAGGGAGAGAATATAATACAGAATGAAAGCATAAACCAGCTTGCTTGCTTCACAAACACTTACAGTGCTTTTTATATGCCAGATCCTTTTATAAGTGCTTAACAAATATTAGCTCATTACTCCTCTCTATAGTCTAGGAGGTAAGGATAATTATAATTCCCCATTTTTATGATGAGAAACTCGAAGTACAGAAAGGGTAAGTTACTTGTACATGGCTTTGTGGTTGTTTAGAGCTGGTGTGAATCCAAATCATGCCTCTTAACTAGATGAACTTGACACAGTATTTTCACTAGGTATAACGTAGTTTACATGGTTAGTGTGAAGATTTAAACAAAATAATGTATATAAAGTGTTTATCACAGTTCCTGGCTCAAAATTTACTCATTACATAGTAGATGGCAAAATAACTGTTAAGAGACATAGAATGGAAAAGAAGAATAAAAATGGTTAGGGAACTAGAAACACTATCATCTTAAAAATGGTAGTTTAGCTTGGAGAAGAAAAGAATTATATGGGGGACATGATAGCTGTCTTGAAATATGTGATGAACTTTCATGTGAAGGAGAAGTAGATTTATTTTAATGTTCCCCCATAAAACCAAACTAAAACCTGAGGGTGGAAATTACATGGTGATAAAATCCAGTTCAAAAAAAAAAAGGAATATCTAATAATTAGAGTGTTACACCAATGAAAAAGGCTGCCCCAGAATTTTGTAAGCTTTCAGTACGTTGAAATGTTCAAGCACAGGCTAAATGACTCTCTGTAGTATATAAAATATAGAAAGGATTTCTACAATGAGTGCAACATTAAAATACATTCATGCATTTATTCAGCAAACATTTACTGACCATCTTCAGTGCACAGTGCCTGTAAGGCCCTTTACAACTCTAAAAATAATAGAGCTACTATTCTGTAAATGAGCAAGTAAGAGCACATGTCCCCAAAATGTTCAGAATTTTGGGCTGATTCTCACTGGAAGGGTCTACTGATTCTTTAAATCAGGCTCCCTGGTTTGTCTGGCATGATCAGCAATAAGCTTTATTTTCAGTCACTTATCATTAGTCATAGGAAGACTTTTTCTATAGTAAAGAGTCAATTCATAATGGGAAGATCACTCATTTTTATATTCTGATAAAAGAAGCTTTTCTTGAAAGGAAAGAAAAGAATTTTATTTCACAATAGTAGTTTTTTTCTTTCAATCTCTGAAAACAAATATAATAACATCTTTTAACCAAAAAATAAAAAGAGGATTCCTCTCATTTAATCTGGAGAATATGCCATCCTTGAAAGAGTCTGTGCTTCGTGACTGGGTCCAACAAAGATAAGCCAAAATGTTGCCCACTCTGT